TTGCCTATTGACGGTGTGGATTCTTTTAAATTAGGAAATCAATTGGTTGGAGATAAGATATTGTTGTCTCCAGTAATTTTGGGGAAGCCCAATGAGATTATGAAAACCAAAAAGTTGTAAAGAAAATCTGAATGACCTAAAAGAATCCCAGGCTTTCTGTAAGTCTGAGATCCATCGGCAGTTCTTACTATCTCTTTCTGTAAGTCTGCTGTGAGAATTATGACCAAAGATCAATCTTAAAATGATACTGGAGCATCAGGTTGAAAAGAAAAATGTTCAAGGCAACAGGTGATGAGTTAAAGCTATCTGAATTAAAACACATGACAAACATGAGCAAGGTGTGGGAAAGCAGATATAAACAGTACTTGGAGCAAATTATGAAACAAAAGAAATCAACGCTTTGAAGGAGAGTACAAAAAGTATCCATTGAATCCCAACATAATATACCTGTAAAGAAGGAGATATGTTCTTAAAAGTAAGTTAATACTTCAAAATGATGAGGCATCAAATCTTGCTGGAAGGGAATTAGACAAAGCTTGAAGCCAATCAGAGGACACAAAGCAAAAAGAATTTAAGAACATTTATGAGCTAAATAAAAAGGAATAATCAAGCTTCCCCAACTGATATAAAAATATCCTGAACAATGTTTACAAAACAGCTAAAGAGAAGTTCTTTTGCATAGAAAGAAGCAGGGCTAATAGATATGTGTCTTCTAGAAAAGTCAGCTGAAGGGTTAAGTCATAGAACTTCAGGTTAAAAATAACCTTGAATGAAAACAGGATGAGGTGAATTCATTTGCTCCTAACACTTCAAATGCATGTCCAGTTGAACCTTTTTTATCCCCAACAGACAGAGCCATGAAAAAAAGATAGCCATGACAGAAAATTGAGATCAGCAATTTAAACTTGAATAGAGCGGTCAGAGTATGTTTCAAAAAATGAAAACTCTGACTATAAGTTGTTATTTGATTTTGAAGTAGAACAAAATAATTTGCTGAGTCTGGAGCATAAGAAACACTCTGTCCAGGATTTCTCTTTGGATTCCAATTCACAGCCACTAATACCTGCAATGCTATTCTTGCTAAAGTTAACCAGACCGAATAAGCTGCAAAAGCTCTGGGCCCATCAGCACCAACAGTCCCTAGGTGTACTTTCCACAATCCAATACAGATTTTAAAAAGCAACATGAAAAATGAGAACCAAGGTCTATTATTTTACCTAAGGACCTGAAAACACTGTAACACTATACGGAAAAAGAGATCTTTTGCAGAGACTGAAAGGAAATAAATCAACCAGTAGTAAAAACAAAAACTATTGCTGGCAGCTCACACAAGCTGGACTTTAACCCTGTTCGGTTATTAGAGATTATGTCTCATAGTTTTGCCAATATGAGATGTTCAGCAGGGAAATGTGGTAAAAGAGTAAAGAATGTTACTTAGAGAGTCATAGAGCCCTCCAGCCCAACTCATCCACGTTGACCAGGCTTCCTAAACTGAATATATCTGTACAAAATGTAACAATTCAATTGTTACATGTTTACACTATTGTAATTGGTTGTGTTGTAATAGTATGATGGAAAAAAATCATTCGTATGGTACAACATAGTTACGTTTTAAAATGTCCCCTTTAACTTGAGTTGAAACAGAATGTTCCAGAAACAGCATGGTGAAATCATGAGCAGTATAGAGTCTTAGAGATGTACAGCACAGAAACAGATCCTTTGGTCCAACTCATCAATGCCAACCAGATATCCTATATAAATCTCGTCCCATTTGCCAGCATTTGGCCCATATCCCTCCAAACCCTTCCTATTCATATACCCATCCAGATGCCTTTTGAATGCTGTACCAGCCTCTTCCACTTCCTCTGGCCTCATTCCTTCACACTCCACCCTCTGCCTGAAAATGTTGCCTCTTAGGTGCCTTTTATATCTTTCCCCTCTCACCTTAAACATATCCCCTCTAGTTTTGGAATCCCCCTACCCCAGAGAAAAGACCTTGTCTGTCCACCCTATCCATGCCCCTCATGATTTTATAAACCTCTAAAAGGTCATCCCTCAGCCTCCGATGCCCCAGGGAAAATATCCCCAGCCTATTCACTCTCTTCCTATAGCTCAATCCCTCCAACCCTGGCAAGATACCCGTACATCTTTTCTGAACCTTCTCTAGTTTCACAACAACCTTCCTATAGGAGGGAGACCAGAATTGCACATAATACTCCAAAAGTGGCCAAACCAATGTCCTGTACGGCTGCAACATGACCTCCCAACTCCTATACTCAATGCAGTGAACAATAAAGGCAAGAACACCAAATGCCTTCTTTCCTATTCTATCTATCTGTGACTCCACTTTCAAGGAACTATGAACCTGCACTCCAAGGTCTCTTTGTTCAGCAACACTCCCCTGGATCTTACCATTAATGTATAAGTCCTGCCCTGACTTGCCTTTCCAAAATGCAGTCCCTCACATTTATCTAAATTAAACTCCATCAGCCACTCCTCGGCCCACTGGCCCATCTGATCAAGATCCTGCTGTACTCTGAGGTAACCTTCTTCGGTGTCCACTACACCTTCAATTTTAGCATCATCTGCAAACTTACTCACCATACCTCCCATGTTCACATCCAAATCATTTATATAAATAACAAAAAGCAGTGGACCCAGCACCGATCCTTGTGGCTCACCAGTGGTCAATGGCCTCCAGTCTGAAAACAACCCTCCAGTCTTTTACCTTTGAGTCAATTCTGTATCTGAATGGCTAGCTCTCCCTGTATTCCGCGTGATCTAACCTTGCTAACTAGTCTACTATGCGGAACCTTGTCGAACACCTTACTGAAGTCCATATGGATCAGTGTCACTACTCTGCTTCATCAATTCTCTTTGTTACTTCTTCAAAAATCTCAATCAAATTAGTGAGACACGATTTCCCACGCACAAAGCCATGTTGACTATACCTAATCAGTCCTTGCCTTTCAAAATATATGTAAATCCTATCTCTCAAAAGTCTAAAACGTGGCCCAGCACTAATGTCTATAGTTCCCTGGCTTTTCCTTACCACCTTTCTCAAATAGTGGCACCACGTTAGCCAACTTCCAGTCTTCCGGCACCTCACCAGCAGCTATCAATGATACAAATATCTCAGCAAGGGGCCCAGTAATCTCTTCCCTCACTTCAGAGTTCTAGGGTATACCTGATCAAGTCCTGGGGATATATCCACCTTTATGCATTTTAAGATATACAGCACCTCCTCCTCTGTAATATGGACATGTCACTATTTATTTCCCTACGTTTTCTATGTTCCACATCCTTATCCACAGTAAACACTGATGAAAAATACTCGTTAGTATTACCCCCATCTCCTGCAGTTCCACACATAGATGGCCTTGCTGAATTTTAAGGGACACTATTCTCTCCCTAGTTACTCTTTTGTCCATGATGCGTTCTCCTTAACCCTATTTGCCAAAGCTATCGCATGTCCTCTTTTTGCACTCCCAATTTTCCTCTTAAGTATACTCCTCCTGCCTTTATATTCTTCTCGGGATTTTCTCGATCCCTGCTGTCTATACCTCAAGTATGCTTCCTTCTTTTTCTTGACCAAAACCTCAATTTCTCTAGTCATCCAGCATTCCCTACACCTACCAGCCTTGCCCTTCTCACTAACAGGAACATACTGTCTCTGGACTCTCGTTATCTCATTTTTTGAAGGCTTCCCATTTTCCAGCTATCCCTTTACCTATGAATATTTGCTCCCAATCAACTTTGAAAGCTTTTGCTTAATACTGTCAAAATCATCCTGCCTCCAATTTAGAAGTTTAACTTTTAGATCTGGTCTATCCTTTTTCATCACTATTTTAAATAGAATTATGGTCACTGGCCCCAAAGTGCTCCCCCCACTAACATCGCAGTCACTTGCCCTGCCTCATTTCCCAAGAGTAGGTCAAGTTTTGCACCTTCTCTAGTAGGTACATCCACATACTGAATCAGAAAATTTTCTCGTACACACTTAACAAATTCACCTGGAAACGTGCCAATGTGATCTGGTTGCCGTGGGGCAAGAAACTCAAACAGAAACCTATTGAAACACGTTTTCACAGAAGAAGGACAATTCTTTTTGAGAGGCAGGGAGAGTGAAGGTACCGCTGTGAAGAAGCATAGAAGAACTGATTTATATAAACACTAAGCAGCATGCTTGCGAAAGTTCATTTTCTGTTCGAAAGGGAAAGGAATGGAAAAGTCTCTTGGAGATTTAATAAACAGGTTGTCATTAAGGTGGGCCTCACTGATTAAAAAAAAACAGCTGGATCCAGACAACTTGGGCTCGATGGAACAATTTCTGAGGACACTGGAAATTCTGACCTTGCATGATGAAGAGAAGCGAGCTTGCTGGAGAGTTGTCAGTTATTGTAGTGACTGCTCCTGCAAATGCTAGGTGCCTGCCAGAAGTGCAGCACACTACTAAAGGGGGTCATAAGACATATCACGATTGCAACAATCAGTCAATGTGAAAGTGCTGTACTTTAATTTGTTGCATTAGGTAATTAATGATCGATCTCTGTAGATTTTTGTTTGTTTGTGACAACAGTTTTAAAATGTCATACCTTGTGCATGGGTTCTTTCTGCTAGTCGCTGGGGAATTCATTTCTTTTACTTAAATTATTGACCTCTACAGGAACCATAAGAGTAGATTTTGTGAAATCACATGTTAACAGCAGTCATCTCCTTTACAGAATCACAGAAGTGCCAGTGCACAGAAGGAGGTTATTCAGTTTTTCATACCTGCAATGATTTCCAAATGAGCAATGCACCTAGCACCATTCGCCTATTTTCGCAATTCAGAGGAGGAAGGAATAAAAAATAGAAAGACGAGGTAAATATCCCTATTTCTCTCACATATTTAGGATAAACTGCATTTGTTATACTATATGATCACGGCCACATGTGGTACAAAGAATTATTTATTTGCAGCTGCCAGAAGTAAAACAAAATTAGCAAGCTTCAGTCACCTGTTTTCCATGCACAATGCATCCACATCAATTATACGGTTTTCATGCCCTCCAAGAATATGGTTAATCTCCTGATTTAGGCGGTCAGCTTTCTCCTGGTAGAAAGATCGTTCGACCTTCACATCCTGAAGCTCATCCACTGCTGCTTGATAATCATGATCCAAACGTTCGATCTGCAAAAAAGCAGAAACACTGGGGAGTCACAAGACAGTTGGATACATATTTAAACTGAGATAACAAGGTGTAGAGCTGGATGAACACAGCAGGTCAAGCAGCATCATAGGAGCAGGAAGGCTGACTTTTCGGGCCGAGACCCTTCTGATGACCCTTTACTCAAAACATTCTAAAATGATCTGTGAATTCAAATTAAAAAAAAAAACGAGAAGCCAGAAGCAACTATAAAAACATTGAATTTTAAGGCTAGATTTAATGTTTCTTCTATATATTTACATTGTGAGCATCCAGTAAACAGGAGGAAACATTATTATAATCGTTTAATTGTAGGTTTTTATTTTTAGATTCAGTTGTCATTTACAAGCTGAAGATTTTGGAATTTATGTAACTGGGAAATTGAAGTTCCAGCAATGCTAGTCCTTATAAGGGATGTTAAACACCTACATCCATCCAATTGTTCAATCAGTTATCCAAAGAAATTTTGTGCGTTCAATCTCCTTCATAATGACTGATGCTATTCCGCCTGACAGCTTCTGAATACCTTACCACATTTCCAACATGAACTGAATGGGTAAATGGCTTCCATCTCTCCCTAATTACTCAATGGGTTGGATTCTACACGGTCCACAGTCCCCTCCCTCTTCTAAGAGTTTGAGGAGGGGAGGAGGTCTTACATAAGCCCACCCACAATCCCAGTTAGCACCCCTACCAAGTTAATGTTGGGAATAGATTTACTTGCTTTCAGATAAGATTTTCACTCCTTCCTTGGGAGGAAGTGCCCAATTTAGACAGCCGCCAGCCAAATGGACGCCTGTCAGCTCTGTTGTCCCCACAGTGCCAGTGAGACCACTGGCAATGTCAGAACTACAGGTAAGCCCACCATGCCCAACAGTCCAGATAGGTCTAAGGTCAGAATCCTCAGTGAATGGGTGAGGGTGAGAGGTTGTTGAGAGTGGAAAGCTGGGTGCAAGAACCCAGTATTTTGTGTTAAAGGGAAGAACAACACTTTTGGGGAAGGGGGGACATGGGATTGGGTGAGATACCTCCAAAGGACTGGGGGGATAGTGGGGTGCACAAAGAGGCTACCCCTCCATTGCCCTACACCTGCCCTAAAGCTGCCTGGTCTCCCTCATGCTGTGCCCCCATTGTTGTCAGTAACATCTCATACCTAAGTCACTTTAAGTGAATAAGTGGCTGACACCTCCCTCCTCCCCTGCTCATCCATAACAGCTCAACAGCTCAAGGGGGTGGGTGGGTAGATGGGGGAAAGGCCATCTGATGGATTTTATGTTTCCCCCCCTTCTGGAGTACATAAAGTCCAGCTTCATGATTCAAAGTGCTAAACCTGCATGCGATCACCTTTATGCTTACAACACCCTTTTGAGCTCCTATAGCACTTTGAGTGGACAGGAAAGTATTTCAAATAACGTTGGAAATGGGGAGGCAGAGGTAGGGGAGTGGGGATGCTCAGGTCCAAGTCATACACAACATATGTGACTTTGACAGATACAGCCTCGCTGTTGTGTTTAGGTAAAAGCTGAGTTGTTGGGGAGTGGACACAAAGAAGGAGTAAAATAAGGACAGAATATATGATTAATAATACTTTTAAAAAGTAAGGTGTAACTAGAATAGTTTGTACCTGTTCATGTGTTTTTTCCAACTGCTGAACAAGGTCCTCACGTTCATGTGCAGGAAAATGACGAGCTCCTACTTCTTCATCACCTAAACGCTGTTTCGCAATCGTCATTCTTAGGAGCTCAAGAGAGAACACAGATCATCATCACCATAGCCACTGCTTTGTGATCACTGAAGAAGTCAAATGCAATTTTTAATCCAAGAGTTTCTTACAAACGTTTTGGGAGATTGCATTCTGCAATTCTGCCCCTTTTTTTAAAGGCATCAAACTAGTGGCCTTGATCATCATGCAAAGAGCTTATCAATCAGAACAAAACTTTGATTTTAATAGTTCTTTATGATGTGTCTTTGATACCAATTGGTTGTAAAGATCAATGATCGTTTCATTGCACATTAACATCAGGACCTTTAACAGAAGTTCATTGATCTAGCTGTGCAGGCGTTCTCAAAAAGACAGATTTTAAAATTTAGCATTTTCTCAATACTTCCTGAGTATACTACAGTACTGCAATAGAAACCAGTTGGTAAATAAGAACTATAAATACTACAACCTAATAGATAGTGGGAGATTGAGGTCAATTTTCCCCCTCACAACCAGCTGGAGAATCAGTGTAAAATCATCAAGTTTATTATGTGAAGGTGTCAGTGTTGGACTGAGAAGGACAAAGTCAGAAATCACACAACACCAGGTTATAGTCCAATAAGTTTATTTGAAATCACAAGCTTTTGGAGGGCTGCCCCTTCGTCAGCCTGATGAAGGAGCTGTGCTTTGAAAGCTTGTGATTTCAAATAGACCTGTTGGACTATAACCTGGTGTTGTGACTTCTGACTTCATCAAATTTATGAAATCCAACCCCAACTCCCTACAACTATATTTGTTTCTGCTTTAACCATGTCAGATATCAGGGCAGCGGGTTAACTGGGAGAGATGGATCCATCATTATTCATTTTGATGAGGGCTCTTTCTTGCAATTTTAGTAGCAATTTGAAACAAATGTTTCCTGAGTTCGGGATTCCAGGGATTTCGGTAAGTTGTTAGGAAAATGGAGGGATGATTGGAACACTGAACCATCATTGCAGCTGGTTAAAGATCAAAAATTCCAACATGAATAAAGACTCAGTGCTGACAGCTGCTTTTCACACTCCCCCCTGGATGATGTTTTGTTGAGATTATCAATAGTGAGAGACTTAGTTTGGAGGTGTTGACAGAGAACTTCAGCATGGCTGACAGCACGCCTGCATTTGATCGTTTTCCACATCTGAAGTCCAATGAAATCCACAGTTGCAAGAACATGGTATGAAGTGAGCTGCAGAAAGTGGGGCACCAAAAAACTCACGGGAGGCACGATCCACCTAACAATCATTGGATAGAAGCTGAATTGACCTCACTAAAGAGCAGCTTTCCAAAGAGTGTGCATATCTCATCAGCTGTTCTTAAATTGAGACCTGCTCCCGATTAGACCTCATGGCGATATGCATTATCAATGGCTGTCAAGGTCACTACTAGCCTCTATTTCTTTGCCTGTGGTTCCTCCCAGGGCTCTAGCAGTGAGTGAAAGAGGATCTCACAGTCAGCTGCACATAAAAGGATGAGGTAAATGGCTGATGGACTGTCTTCCAGGGCTGGGGAGGTATGTAAGTGTACCCCATGAATCCAAAGCAAGAATAAGCATCCACTTTAGTTCACATCTCTAGTTAGCTTCCCAGCAGTGCAGAATTCCATCAGTTGCACACTGGCAATCCAAGCACCACGAGACTAACAGCAGCATTTGCCAGCTGCAAAGGATTTCATTCCAACAATACGCGACTGCTGTGCAATTGCCAGAAAAAGGTTCCCACAAGTCAGTGGCACATTGCTTGGGTGCTGCCCCAATGCTTTCATATTGCAGCAGTTTAAATTCCAACGTGTTCTTGCCTGAAACCAGCCTGAAGGGACAGCTGTTAAACAATAATGGATACTCCGTTCAAACTTAACAACTTATACAATTGAGGAACCTCACCAATAAACACCAAGAGTACTGCAACTAATCATTGAGCGTGCTATCCACTTGTTCAGTATGTACTTTAAGTAGCTTTCAGGTCCGAAGGCATCCTTCAATACTCACACACAAGCATTTCAAGGGCAATTGTTTTGTGCTGTGTTCTGAACAACATCTCACAGCAGGAAATGATGCTTCAGATTTCAACGGCAATGAAGACAACAAGGAGGTGGAAGTGAAACAGAAAGGGAAAGGAGATGAAGGTGGATCTCCCAATTCGAACCCACCTCCTCCCAGTGTTGCTGGATTGCCAGTGATACCCCAATAATTTGAAGGCTCAGTTAATTACTCAAATAGACCAGAGTAATTACCACATCCCCTCTCCACCCCCCTGCCAAATCTTGAACATTTCATCAATGCATTAGCCCGTTAGATCATCCTGGAAAGACTATAATGTCCAGATACAAACTGTCACTTCAAAGCTTTGCAGCCATCTTGTCCCCAAAGCACAGATCATCCCACCTCCTTGTTAACATCAACCCTGTAATTTCTGTCACATGCATCAGATTCTGTATGTTTTTAACTTGGAATTTAATTATTTTCTTCCCTAAAGCTACTCTTCTAGGTCTTTGCATACACTATCATGACAATTACATCATGCTGGTACCAAGTCATAGTTATAGAGGTCACTGTTTGGAGAAAGTCAGATTTATGTTGATATTTTCTCTCTCCAGAACAATCTATAATTCAACCATGCTATTGCAAGATGATAATATTATATCTGTGTTTTTTAATAATAGTAATTCAGTTTCACTGAAATTCTGTTTTCAAATCACGGGATTAAGAAACAATATTCATCTCTATACCTTGCAAGCATGGTGCAGCATTTTATTTCTGAATACTACTCAGTATTACATGCTGAATGGAAATAACATTTCACATTCAAAGCAAGAACTGTAAAACAAAATTACCTTTTGACCCAAAGATCAGGATTTTCAATCACCCCTGGGTTAGACTGGAAGACGGCACAGTTAACACAACACTTCCAGATGGTGTATCAGTGGCCCTATGCCTCCAGGATGCAGTGGCATTTTCAAAGGAAAGCATGGGATATGACCCTCTGAAACCTGCTCATCTCGAAAGTTGATATGCTAAGCTCCTTGAGGAGTTTATTAACCGGAGAGCCAAAAGTTAATTTCCAAATCACAGTTCGTCGAACCCAAACAATCTGATACTTGTTATTGTACAGCAGTGAGTTCAAAGCAGCAGCAATTTTTTTGATGAGAAACTATTTTCGCCACTAGGTTTTTGTGTCAGGTACCTTTTAGTTGACTGTCTGGCCAATTTCCTGAGCAGGGAGGCTGTGGGCCTTCCAAAGTCTTGCCTCCTCTCATCTGTAAGGTGGGGGCAGGCCTCGTCAATGCCCACTGCCTGCCTTTGGCAGCTCCCATCTCCTGGCAGAGATCAGCATCACCAGCTGAATTAAAGTGGCTACATTTGTAAGCAACATAGACGCAGCACCAGTCGGGACTGGGAAATTATCTGGGTATTGGGTTCACAAACATGGATTGAACATCAAACCCAAAAGATCAAAGTTTTACAGATTCTCTTAAATAGATTCATTGCAAGAAGTGATTAGGACAGCATCCATTGTTTAAAAAAAAAGCATAACTTCTTAAGAACGTGACCACAATATGCTTAGTTTAGTTAACTGGCAACATTATTGCACACATGTATGACCTCTTAAAGCCCTTAACAAACATCAATGATGCAGGGAACTGTGGTATCACCAAGTACTCATCCAGCCATGCTCCAAACTGATTATGGAGATCCCTGACTGTAATGATGAAGCATGGTTAGCTACATTGAACAGTGTGAGATTCTTGATGACCACACTGCTGGGCGAATCTCAGACTGAACAACTGTGGTGTCGTTAGCCCCAGTTTCAATGGTCAAGTAAAGTGACAGAACGATCTACTGCCTTCCTGGCTGTTCAAGTTCTACATTCCAGTGACCTCAGCTGACCATGAAGAGACCAAATGAAAACATACAGGAGGAAAAATCTTCAGATTCCTTTTTAAAAATGTGAAACCAGTCTATAAAGAAAAACAAAAAAAAAGTAAAGGACCACAATACATAGAGCTCTGGTTTGACCCTCACTTGGAATACTCAATTAAGTTCTTGATGTCACAATTCCAAAAGAATACCACAGTCTTGGAATATATAAGGCATAGATTAGCAGAATTACATCAGGGCCAACTGGTTGGTTTATGAGGACTAAACAGGCTTGTATCCCTTACGGAGTTGGTTGGCTCAGTTGGCTAGACAGCTGGTCTGCAATATAGCATGACACCAACAGCGTGTGTTCAATTCCTACACTGGCTGCAGTTACCATGAAGGATTCCCCTTCTCAAACTTTCCCCTTGCCAGAAGTGTGGTGACTCTCAGGTTAAAACAGTCATCTCTCTCTGATGAGACAGCCGTCCTATGGTGTGGTAAGACAATGGCAACTTTATCTTTACCTTATCCCCTACAGTACAAAAAAATCTGATGGTATCTAACCGAGATGTTTAAGATGATAGGTAGATGGCGAAAAACTGTTTCCTCTGGTGAGACTGCCCAAAACAAAGGACCTTGATAACAGAGATAGCGCTGATGTCAAAAAAGCATTAGATCACGCAAATGGTCAAGAAAATTTGCAACACTTTCCTCAAAAACAAAATAAAAAGAGGTTGAGCAGCTAAATAGCATACCCCTCCAGCAGGTGAAGGAACATCCACAGTGCTGTTAGGAGGAGAATTCAGGATTTTATCCGAGCAACAGTGAAAAAAATGACAATACAGTTCCACACCAGGATGGTCTGTGGCTTGGATGGAACTTTGAAGGTATCGTGTTCTGAAGAATCTTCTGCCATTATCCTACCAGGTGATAGAGGCTTTGTTACAGAAGGTGCTGTCAATGGAGCATTGGTGTGTTGCTGCAGTGTATCTTATATATTGCTATATCATAGGTTAGTGGTAAAGGGAGTGAACGTTGAAGCTGGGGGATGGGTGCCAATAAGTGGGTTGATTTCTCCTGGGTGGCATTGAGCTTCAAAGTGTTGTCAAATTCCAGAGTTATATCAAAATGATAGACACTCTCT